GCCCACATGCCTCTATATCTTCTGAGTCTGAGGGAGTTTGTTTGAAGAGAGTCTGTTTGACAGGACTGGGATGTGGGCAGGGATTTTGATCTGGGAGAAAGGAAGCTGCCTTTTCCTGAGACAGACCTAGGGAGGTGTGAGGAATTTGGTTTTTGGGTGGGAATTCATTGGATACCTTGGGCTCATGGTTGAGTCCAGCTTCCTGGTGAGGGTGCCAAGCATTCAGGCAGGTGTTGAGCTCACACCTGCAAGTGGCTTACCTCTTCCGAACATGCAACTTGAGACCTTTGTTTGTGTTGCACAGAGCAAACACATTTGCCAAGAATGTTTTCATTCATCGAGAATGAAAGTCAGAGGTTCAAAGACGATCAGATACCATTGTAGTTCTGACCATAAATGATGCCAACTAGCAATCCCGTGGTGTTATTCTCATGACCCGCTGGGCAGCTTCTGGGAAACCAAAGTCTTTGGGTTCTGGGCAGAATATGGTTTCAAAGCTGAAACTTAAAGGAATTGACGGAAGAGCACCACAACGAGTGAAGCCTGTGGCTTAATTTGACTCAACATGGGAAACTTCACCCGGCCCAGACACGGAAAGGACTGACAGACTGATGGCTCTTTCTTGATTCTGTGCGGGGTGGTGCCTGGCCGTTCTTAGTTGGTGAAGCAATTTGTCTGGTTAATTCCGATCACAAACAAGACTCTGGCATGCTAATCCTGCAAGTGTTCATGGACTTCCTCTCGGCTTGGCTTGCCTCCTCAGCCAGGGCTGTGCACAAGAAGTCCAACCAACAGAGGAGGGCCAGATTCTGAGAAGAATCATTGTAACCTTAGTCAGATCACTGGTCCATCTAGTTCTGTGATGCTAAGTTGACTTCTCAGGGTTCCAGACAACCATCTTTCCCAGCTCAACCTGGAGAGAGTGGGAGCACGCTGCACACATAGGTGGAGGTTCCATCACTGAACTACATGGCCCACTGCTCATGCTCCGGCTGAGGTGGGCATTTCCAGGAGGCAGGTCTCCACACATCCAGGCCCTCCATTAGCCTTTTGTTGCCCATCTGGCTTAACAAACTCTCTTTCTCTCCCAGTGGCTCTCTCCCCCCCAGTGGAGGGTGTTCTAGGGTTCTGTGGTACCTGGCTGGCAAGCTGCATTTGACCAGATGGACCTCAAGATTTGCAGACCTGCTGCTGATCCCTTGTTCACATTCTTTTTCCTTCTTTTTAAATATATTTTAGATAAATAATCATATAAGTTTTAAATTATCTTCCTTTAAATGGAAGTTGTGATCTTTAATTGAATTCAATAGCCCTGCAAATGGACCAAATAATCTATAATTGATTAGATAATTTTCTCCATATCAGCCCAATTTCTCCTTAAATGTGCATTTGCTTCTACCAGCATTAACTTTCTTTCATTAGCAGTAAATCTTCAATTGCCCCTTTTCTTCATTGCACTAATTAATGGAAAGTGAGGTGGGAGAAATAACATTCCCCCTTTAGCAGGGCATAAAGTTCCAAAGTCAAATGGCACTTCGTTTCTGACAGGCAGTGAGAGCATTTTAAATAAAGAAGAGATGGGAAAAGGAATACAAATAGTTCTAGGAGATCAAGGTAAAGCCATCTTTAAAGGTAGGTTTCCCACAAGGTGACAACTGCCTCCTGCAAGGTGCTGAATATCCTTTACTCCCACTGATGTCAGTGGGAGATGAAAGTGCTCAGCACCCATGCTGGACCAGGCACCACAGTGTCCAAATGAGGCACTGCATCTCTTGCTGGTAAAATGGATATATTAAAATAACAATAATAACAATACTGTGCTAATGAAATAGGCTGATGGGATAATTCACAGCTGAGATGAGATTCAGCAGATGGCTGTGTCTGAACTTGTGGCGAGAGTCCAACAAAGGTACTTTTTTCTCATACAATATGATGATGGCAACTCTGTAAATGCTCCAGGCCAAAGAATAGGCATAATCAGCCAGTGTGTTTCCATGGGATGAGAACAAGAGCAACAGGATGGAGGGAATCTGAAAGCACAAACTCTGAAAGCTCTTTATAATGTCCGGGAGTTGAATCGTACAAGGCACCATCAACCATAAAATGCTAGGCTTCCCCAAGGTTTCATCACTGGGGCACCAGTGTAAACATACTTTTACACCAAGAAACACATATGGTACCTAGCTTAGTGTGCGTGTGTGCGTGTGCGTGCGTGCATGCACACACACAGAGTGACACTTTCTCTGGGTCTAAGTCCTCTGCAGCTGAAAGAAGCACAGCCCAAGTGTGGGGATCAGGCAGCGCGAGGGTTTTAAATATTGGGTTGGAGTAGTTCTTATACATTGTTTCTTTATTTTTAATTGGGTATTTAAAAACAATTTTGCTACTTTATTGATTGGATTGTGCTTTTCAAGTTTGAAAGCTTTAATTGCATAAATGTTTAATGTTGTGAGCTTCCTTGAGTCCCAACACTGGGAATAGGTGGGATAGAAATAAATACAATAATATTCATCTCCCCCAAAGGGAGTGGGAGCTGCCCTATTTATTTATTTATTTATTTATTTATTTATTTATTTATTTATTTAAAACATTTCTATGCCGCCCCCATCGCAACAAAGCCTCGGGGCGGCTCACACATCCACATCCCATGGCTCTCCTGTCTTTCCTTAACCCAGACAGTCGGGTCTCAGAGGCTTTCGGGGCAAAGGTGGTGAAATGAATCTGAGTGCTTGGGATCATCAAAGTTATTCCCAGTGGAACATTGAATAGAAAAGCAAGTGGAAGGCTTCACAGGGAGGCAGAGAACAACCTTTAGAGAGTGCCACTAGTCCAGACGGTGATGTGGGACACCGTGTTGAGGTCATGCCATGAGGAGGAATAGATGCTAAACACGCGTGTCCATTGTCACCATGAATGCGCAGAAATGCTGTCTCTCACAGAGTAACCCACTTTGATGCCCTGCCCTGGCAAGGCATCCTTTACTGAACGAATAGACTTTGAGAGTTCTGATTGTGCTACCTTCAGAAGAGGGCAATTAAGGAAAGCCAATAAAGGACCTTTCCTTCAGCTCTGTTATAATCTTTCAGCTACTGGAAAGCCGGAACTCCCCAAATCCCCAGGGAACTCTCTTTTGTATCACAAGGTTAACCTGCAGTTATCCAGAGTTAAAGAGGTAATTAGATCTCATATACTAACAGTGAACTTAGGTAGCCAATAAAGGGCTACTGGAAACAAAAAGGCAGGAATAGCATGCTCATGAACAAAGGAAGATTTGCAGAAGCCTGAAAAAATGGTGTAAAGTCCCCACCCTTTCCACCACCCCAAGCACTATGATGGGCATTGAACTTCTTCTGTCTGGCAGGCAGGTCTCAAGGCAAAAGGGGGTGGGGCTAAATACACAAAACGCCAGAATACCAAGATGCAACATTCTCAGCACAGGATCATAGAACAAAGGGGCTGGAAGGGGCCAGGAAGGCCCTTAGGTCCTACCAACCACTCCTTGCAGCAACCACCAAATGCTGAATGTCCATCGTACTAGGAGGATCTAAAAAGACTGGGAAAGGGAAATGCAGTGGAATTTCTCAAAAGAAGGCACAGCTGAATGGAACCCTGAACAGGAATACTCAACACTGAACGTTTTGTGGCAGGTTCCCTTTGCGAAGACCTCAGTTAAATAAGATGCTTCAGGCTGCACCCAAATCAAATTCAGGCCTGATTTAAATTGGGCCCCAGTTCCTGCCCTACCCTCACCTTTTGCTAAGCCGGACGTTCCAGGTGGGGGTGAAAGTGTGGCTGGCCCTGGAGGGCTCATCTTTAAGGTGTGGAAGCTGCCAGAAACATATGAGGGATCAACTACAGATGCTGGGAAGCATCAGAGATGGGATTCCCACTGAGATCTGGAGGCACCTGCTCACAGCTACGTCCAGGCAGTGCACACATCCCTGTGCCCACAAGATGTCAGTTTGCTCCCAGCAGAACTTGCTCTCAGAAAAGGGGGGAATCAGCAGCAGAGAATGCTGGGAAGGAGGAATGGCGTAGAGAGAAAGCCATTCCAGACTGGGCCCAAATGCCACAGGATTCTTGGTCTGATTCTGAATACAGCTGGGGAGCATGATGATATGTAATTGGTTCTGTGCATTCTAGTTACCGCACCATTATTATCCCTCATAAAAATCCATGTGAGGATCCATATCTCAGTGTAAAGCTTTGCTTAGAATGTATGAAAGCCGGAACAATCTACGATCATGTAGAAGAAAGTATCTGGATTGGAAATGGATTGATGCCCCAAACAGTGGAAAATGCTAGCAGTTTAGGAAAGAATTTTATGTTCAATGGACCACTCATCCGACACAGTATCTGATAACATCTTATGTGGATCATCTTATTTACTTGATGCCAACAATAAGCTAACAGCAATATTCTTTCTAATTTGTTAAGTAGCCAAAGAATCGCTAAATTAGTCACGCTTGCCTAATTTCAAATGGTACAAGGCTGGTTTCTCTATTCTGCTCATGATGCCATTAAGAATCAGAGCTGATACGTTAAGTTCTAGGACAGATGTTGCTTAAGGTACAGTTGCATTTCCCTTGCAACTGTTCGGTCCAAACCCAGCGAAGCTGTAGCCATGATCATCCATGAGTGAGGCCGCGTAGCCTATTCCTGTCTTCCAGCTGTTACGAGGAACGTGATGGAAAAGGAGATCAGTGTCCAGATAATTCCCCCAGCATTCTCATCAACAAGACCGCCACATTCACACCACACAGCTGTTTGGTACTCTGGGCTAGGAGGAAGGATGCAACAGCAATGTAAGCACAATCCTGATGAATGGGAGACCAGCCCTAATGACCATGAACTTCATAACGGTTTCCCTATCCATCAATGCAGGTGTTTCCACAAAATCCAGAAACCAGAAACAAGAAGATTCAGCACCTGGCGAAGTGGCAGTGGCCACGGAAGCTTATGCCACAACATCTGCAGCCATTCCACCGTGGTTGACTAACCTGACCAATGGGCTCTTTTGTAGGTGGCTTCCCTCTTCTAGCTGTGCTTGTAGCCAGCGTGGTCGTGGTTTCCATGACCGAGGTGGACATCTCTGACTGCATTGCAGTGGCGGTTGACTCTGTTGTCATAGAGGAAGGCACTTCACCAACGAGTCTCACATTCCCCTCTATCACGATGTTGGCATCATTCTCGGCGGCCATGTTCAGGACCTTCAAGCCATTGTAGTAGAGTCCAGAGAGCTGGCCCTGAAATGGGTGACCCCGTTCCTTTCCTCCAATTTTTATCGTCGCTTGGCTATTGAAGATTGTGAGCTGACGCCCTGCAAAGATAGTATTACATACATGCAAAAAATGTTGATTGCGAACACTACACTCTTAAAGAGGATGATTTTAACAGATTATTATGGGGTGGAGGATGAGAGCAATAAACTATAAGGAATGAATTTTACTCATAATTCATTGCTTTTTAATGAGGTGTCCATGGAATGCAGAATAATTTCTTAATTGGAAGCTTCTTCTTTTGTGTGCATTAAAAAAGCCAATTGGGTTTTCCTTTGGTATTTTTGGTTCCCATTTCCCGCGATCTTCCACCTCACTTTTTTTTTTTTGGTGGGGAGGGATTTCCAAGTCCTAGATTGGGTGTGTGTGTGCCTCAGGATTCTGATCATGTGTGAATGAACAATATTTACGTGTGACGAATTTCTCAAAACAGGCATTCATTTATGTAGATCTGTCTAAGCGGTAACCCTGCCCTTGTGTTTAATAAATCCTAATGCTAAAGAATTATCTTCAAGTACAATGAATTGTATATCTGTTCCCTTTGCCTGCATTTGTAAGGCTATCTAAAACATGTTAGCAAAAATATCTCCTTGTATATTCCTAGGACTAAATCTTGAGACATGAATGTTGAGGTATTCTTTTAGCATCCACACTTACAAGCGTACTCACACACAAATGCACTCACACACTGAGGAGGCATGGGATACATACTGTATACTGAGCATTTCAAAATTGAAAAGGAATGCTAAAAACAAAACAAAACAGAAATGTCTGATTGTCTTTCAGCAAGGCTATTGACGAAAAGAAAAAAAACAAGAAAATTAAAAGAAAAGTTTTGGATGTAAAAGCAATTTCAAGGAATGATAGACATATCAATGAAGAGTCATGTCACATTGCTATTTGAAACAGAAATCCTCATCAATGCAAACCCATTATTAGTAGAAGTATTAATAAACATAATATTCTCTTGTGCAGATTGGTTTCTGCTCATAATAAAAGCATGCACACAACTTTAAGCTCTCTTTTAATTAGTGTTTGTTCCAAAATCCCCTTAGAAGGTAGCAAACGTTAAAGGGACTTCATCTTGTTTGGCAATTATATTGCCCACTATTTAAGATAACCTACAGTTTAAACAATGATTTTTGTTTCTGCTGGTTTGCTTCAGGACCGTAATGAAGATCTCATAACTACATACATATATAGATATTTAGTTAAGAATTTAGATGATGGAACATGTAGCATAATCTATGAATGATTTATCAGTTTTGGTTAATGTTTGCTATGAGTACCTTCATAGATTGAATTAGTGGATTATATTTAACAGTCCCTTTAACCTTAAGTTAACAGGGTAAGATTATTAAACAGGCGGTACCACTAAAATGTATCGAAATTATTATATACACGGTATGCAAATATTTACTCTACATTTTACTGTTTAAAATTTGTTTTTAATTTAGTTTTACTGAAAAATTTATTGTTTTATGTTTATTGGTGTTACAATGAAGCACTACTCGGTTATGTTCAAATTATTTTTTTATTTGAAGTTTTAATCAATGTTTTTACCTTTGTCGAGTAGCCATTCATCAACTACTCGACCAAGCCGATATGGAATTCGCTGTCTAGCAATCGCCAGGCGCTCGTTATCATTGTTTCCTTTAAAGTTTAAAGAGACATTTCATTGGTTAAAATCTGTAAGGTCAAAGGTTAAAAGTTAATACTTAAAGCTTGAGCTATACAGTTGCCACATGATTGTTTTTTGTTTGAAAAATTTGGAATTTGTTTTTAAAAAGCTCTTCCTAGAACATTTCATGGTTCAGACTTGTCATTCATTCATTTATTTTATTTTAGCAAACAAAATTATTCCTATGTTAATTGAAAATTAGAAATCTGCATTTGAGCTAGGTTATTAAAACTTATGTTATAGACAAACCCCCCCAAACAAATTTAAACATCAAATACTAGCTTTACAAAAAGACTGTTCATTGACCTCAGGGTTTTGTCTTTTGCCTTTTTTGAAGTTTCTTATTAACTAGTTAAAACATGTTCAGGTGAAACAGGTTTAATTTTGCAAAATACCTCTTGCTCCAACCTCCTAGTCCAGGGTAGTCATTTAAAGAAGAACAATACAATGCTTAACCACCATCAAGGATCTAGCAATCGATTTGATATAATTTATATCCTAATCAGGAAAAAATACATTCAGAAAAAATTATCTAGCTTCTCAACCAATTCATTCCAAAGGCTTCAACGGTGAACGAAAATCAGTCAGTCAGTCAGGTAATCCATTGCTTTCACATAATCACAGGATATGCTAAAATAGCTCTAGCATAACACCTATTGAGGCTTTGACAAAAGCGACACCACAAACGGTTGTTTGAATGTCTCCAAGACTCCTGGTCCACAGGAAGTTGGCCAAACATCACATCCCATTGAAATCAATGGGGAAAAGAGCTGTGTCTAATCAGACTTTCCAGTGGGCGGTATCCAGTGTGCCATTATTGTTCATGCAAAGTACATTGCTCTAGCATAAAAAACCCTCCAGCTTTCCCAGGAATCCTCGTCATGCCAGCTAACCTCACTGGCCTTGGGCTAGAGGTCCAGCACATAAACATCACATAATTTACGTTAGCACTTGCACCAGGTTGAAAATAATCCACTGATTCCAAAGGGATTTACGCTGGAGTGCCTTTCTTTGGATTGGAATCGCTGAACTGTGGGGATCATAAACATTTCCACAACTTTACAAGCTGTAGCAAACAAACCAGTTAAGTCACTGAAATCACATTCAGGGTGTTTTATTTTGCCCACTACTACGCAGGTGATGAAGCCATACAAAGTGCAAGTTTACCGCCATCAAGGGTGGAAGGGGAGGGGAATAACAGACACTGGCAGGAAACGGGGATGACGCTTATTCCAGTACAGCCGCTCTTGAATTGGACCCTCTGTTTTGTATTCAGAATCAGTGAAATAATTTTTGTTTTTGTTTTTCGTATTGTCAGCCGCATCATACCCGATTCACGCCAGAAGAAGTGCACTCGCTTCCCAAGGAAGCAGCTGCTTGGAGTCTATGACACACGGCAAGAAGTTTATACGGCGTAGCCAACGTTTTCGCAAGAGCTGCTTCTCCATTTGCAGATCTCAAAAGTGGAGTGAGGCTGCGGTGCCCTGCAGGGAGGCCTACCTATTGTGGCCATGTTTCTCCTGAGAGCCACCAGTGAGAGACAACAATAATCCCATGACCCCAGCAATGGGCCCTGAGAGCAATACGATGCGGTGATGCAGTAGTTGTGCTGTTTGGGAAATGCCAAGTGCAGAACATCTGCCTCCCAAAAATAGGCAGTGGAAATGAAAAAGAAGAAGCAGATGCTTCTGCTCTACCAGAATTCAGCCCATGGAAAACTTCTGCCCTAGATGTAGTTGGCATTCTCCACTACAGGAGTTCTCCTTAGAGGAAGACCAGAGTTCCCAGAAACTGTTACCAGACTAGGAAAAGTCTGGTCCCACAGAAGAGATAGTTGTAGGTTCCTGAGGCAGAGTCTGAAGAACCCCCAGAGCTCCCATGAGCAATGTTCATTTGCAAAACGACTCCTCACGAGTAGAGCTCAGAACCAAGAGTTCTATGGTGCTACAGCTGAGCCTGGGCAAAGTTCAGCAGGATCTAACAAAGGACCTCTGGGTCTGCCTAGCCAGTCCTTGAGGGAAGAAAGCAGACGCTCTTCTTTCAGCTCCAATATGTTCTTCCTTGTCTCCTAGCCCTTGACCCAGGGTTGATGCTCTCTGCTCCTGACCATTGGATAACTGCTTTACTCTGCTTGTAGACTGTGCAACATGTGTTGCTCTCTGATGATATTTTGGCCTTTGCTTGCTATCTTGACTGTTCTGGTCTCAACTTGACCCCCCACTGGACTGGAACATGTTTTAGTCTTGAACATGGTCTTGTCCCAGAGTGTGCTTCAATAAAAGCAAGACACTCTCTGTATGGTCCTACAGCATTCCATTTCCTTCTTTTGGGGGCTTGCACATGTATGGAGAAAATGGCCAAATCTGTGCCATGCACAGAAACCATTTGGTGTCTGGATCAGCCTCTGTGCAGCTTTTTTATTTACAAGTGGTGACTGAGCTAACAAAGTCAGGAGACAGGAGCTACATCTGGCAAACCAGCTGTTAGTCTTCATGGTCCTTCCAGGTCAGGAGGAGCTAGCAGGTGGCCTTTGAGCTGTGAAGTTATTCTGGAGCCTAAAGACGCATCAAAATCCAAGAGATCTTCTGACTTGCAAAGTCAACACATGGGGCAGCTATGGAAAGAGGTGAAGGTCCGCAGTATTGGCCATGACTACCAGCTTCACCGCCAGGACTTTGAGAGCCATTAAGCAAAACACCATCCATGGGGACATTCCCACTGCCATTGACCCCCGGTGAGCAAGTCAGCAATGTCATCTGCCATTCTTCCTTCTCAACAGCCTCTGATGTTTCGGCCAGAACCAGAGGCAGATGTACAAGCAGGCTGGAACAATGATGATCTAGCGACAATGATGTTCTAGCCACACTATTACACAACTGGTAAGAACTCAGCGGTGAATATCTGTTCAGTTTTTTAGCCATTGTTCTGGTAACTTTTAAGTGGGCCTCTTCAAAGTTGGCAAACTCAGTCCTTGTGTAACTTTCCTCCCATGTTTATCACTAACCTTCCAACAGCAACCTGGAGCTACGTGAATTTAATTTGCTGGTTGTCAACAGTCCATGTTTTTGTCCCCTCCCAAGCTGTTTCCCATTTCTCAAGCACCACACTGGCTGCCCTATATTAGTATTTTATTTATTTAGACGTATATACCCTCCCTTCCATGAAAAATCAAGTCAACCCAGTGGCTCACGGATAAAAATATGGATCCACAGAATTAAAAACAACCCTACCCCATTATGCCCTTCCTTGATAAAATTCTTTTTCTTCCTTTCAGAATTTGTAGTATGGGAACATAACAAGCTTTAATGAAACCTGAATATAACCAGCACTGTTTCATTTATTGTTAATTTTTTCTTTCAATGTCTATTTCAGCTAAAATGTCATGCTGTAGGAAGTTTGCGAACTTCAGTGGCTTTCTATAATATTCTAAAATCTGCCAATTACATTTCATTCCCTCTGCCACAATCTCACACCCCTGGAAGCTAAAAAACAAATGAAAAGCACAAAAATTGACGGTTGATTTTTAAAGGTCACACACACACACACACACGCTCAAAGTAAATTTGATTACTTTGACTCATCCCTCAAAAGAGTAACTGTAGAGGAAAAAGTGTGGCGGGGGCAAGGAGTGAATGCCAATGGATTTCTTCAGGTTCTTTCAGAAGAAGCTGTGGGTCGACTCACCGAGAAGAAAAGCAAAGCAACAAGCCACAAACCGTAGAAATGGGCGGACAGCCCGGTATGCAAAGAAGTCCAAGAGAAACAATGCCGTGGGGGACCTTCCTTCATCAGCCCCTCAGTGCATCTCACAGGCCGAGTTACACCTTCCCCCCGGCCCCTGAGTTCCTGTCCATCCACCCCTCTCCATCCCAGGATTTGGATGATGGCATCAGTCACAAGCATCTGGTCCAGATCTCCACAGTCCTTCTTCAACTGGACTCCACAGTAAAATGCTGCTTTCCCATTCTGGCATTCAGTGCAAGCTTCCCCATCAGGCCTGGCTGCTGGCAGGGACCTCCCAGCAGGCATGTGGCAGGGGTGTGAGGAAGCACAGAAGATGCAGCAGCTCCAGGGCATCCAGTGGCATGGGATGGCTTTTCCAGCATCAGCGGAGACTGGATGGACTGCAGCTGGTGCTGTTAGCATTCCAGTCTGAGTGACCCCAGACCTGGAATACCTGGCATACCTGGCCAGCTTTGCCTTGGGCAACTGGCAGCTCACTAGCCCAGAGCCCAGGGTGACATCTCCGTCAGGGTGGCATAAGGTCATCTCACACAGGTCTTGTGCACATGCCCTGTATGTACAGCATAGGCAAAAAATCTAAGGAAGAATTATGATTATTGTTGCTACTATTCATTTCATATCTATAGTGCCTCATAGCTGAAGCTCTCTGGGTAGTTTGTTGTTGTTCATTCGCAAAGTCGTGCCCAGCTCTTCCCATGGACAACATTCCTCCCGGTTTTCCTGTCCTCCACCCCCGCCCTCGAGTATACCCAACCCCACACCCACCTCTCCAGTGACCTCATCCAGATACCATAACCTCTGCCAGGCGAAGCTGGCGGAAGGCACTCCAAGCCACCAAAACCACCTGAGTCCCCAGGGCTGAAGACAGACCCAGGAGCACCATCAAGTTATGACCCTGCTCCTTTGGGGAGATGCAACCCCATCCAGAACTGGTTCAACACCCTCCATCTGGTCAAGGGAACCACCCAGCAAGAGCATCTCAGCAAGAGCATCTCAGGACTGGGTGAGGAACAGCAGACTGTTCCTCACCCAGTCCTTTGCTGGGTCCAGACACCAGTTTAGCCCATCCACAAGATGTGAAGGAGAAACGCGGTTGTGTGTCATCCGCATCCTGAGGGCAACATGCTCCAAAACGGCTCTTTGGCACTTCTGATCCACAACATCTTTTAAGCTCAGCGAGACACACTGATTCCTGCTGTTGCCGCCACGGTGTGGGGGACGATCTTCA